TTTTATAAATACTAAAAAGTTCCACAATAGGATTTTTTCTTTCTTTTTCAGTAGAAAAAGTAAACTACAGAAAAAATAAAAATTCTATCTGTGTCTGTCTGTCTCTCAAGATAAATAATTACTTGTAAGGCTGAAACAGGTATAGAATTTTCAAAATTATTTATCTGGAAATATTTAAATAAATTCAATAACCAGCATTAGGCTTTAAGCTGTGTATTTGTTGCAAGACAAAGATGCATGACTGAGAACCTAATCTCTTATTTCTAGTTTGTCATCCTGAGCAGAAAATCAGCTGTGGGTAAGTTTATTAATGGCAAGATAACTCTCAAAATTCTGTTGAATTCTGTCTCTCTTTGATTTGACTTTCACAAACCAGCTAAGCCTGTGAAGTCTTTCTTCAAAATATCAGGTAGGTTCAATTCCCCCTTCCATGTTCACTGTCATTATTCTAAGTCAGACTGTCACTGCCTATCACCTACACCATTTTTTCCAACCTTTTAGACTGTTTTTCTGGTAAGAGAAATATTTTATATCTTGATCAGTACATATGTGTTCATAACTGTCACAAGTTCTCTATAAAATAAGGCTTTCTCTTCCTAAGAGCAATTCATCCTGATACTGTATTGATTTTCAGCCTATCTGTGGATCACAACCTGCAGTGTGAGTAACTCTGACCACTGAAAATCCTTTCTACTGACTCCATGCTTTCATGGTGTCTATCTTTTCTATTTGTCTTCACCAAATTAATATCCCATACCAGGGGATCAAACTCAGGACCTTGCGCTTGCGAGGTAGACACAGTGCCACTGAGCTATATCCCCAGCCTCAGATCAAAACTTCTTAAAGCTCCATCCTAATTATGTCTACTTCCTCTTCACCATTTTTTATGGATTCTGCTTATAATCTTAAGAAGTCCAAATGCCTTGGCCCAACAAAGACATGCCCAGATATATTACCTCAACTACAGATAACCTGAATGATCATGAACACAATTTGTGTTTTCTTGATTCTTTTTCTGACTGAATTCCCACCTTCCATAATCCTTAGTTCTGCCTAGTAAAATCCTACTCCACTTATTCAGTCAGCGTATTTAGTGAGCAGCTACATGTTCTATGCAGTGAGGTAGGTGATCCCTACACTTGCAGTATGGTGCTGTAATGTAAAAGTACTGACAAATATGATAACAGTTACAAAAGAAAAAAACGCAATGTGATTGGATGTAGGACAGGCAAGGTTTACCAAGTGTTATGGCTTGCATTTAGATGTGCCCCCAAAGCCTCACGCAGATGAGACTAGGCTTTCCTCTTCAGAGGTTCTGAATTTGGAATGTGTGATGCTGGGATTAAGGGCATGTAATTACTAAGGCACTACCTGTGAGTGATTGGTTTGGTACCACCCTAATCCCAGTAGTCTGGATGGGATAAAAGGGGCAGAAAGATGCTAGTAAACTCTCTTGCTGCTTTTGCTACCTTGTGGGTGCCATGAACTGTTTCACCTCTGTGATGCCCCTCTGCTGTGTGCCACCCTACCTTGGAGGTAGCCAATTATGGACTGAAACCTCTAAAAACTGTGAGCTAAATAAACCCTTTCCCCTTTAACTTTGGGTGTCAGGTATTTGTCTCAGCAATAAGAGAAAAGTAACCAATACACCAAGTTAACAGTACTATGACGAGTGTCCCAGAGGAAAAGCTCTTTAAGTACCAAAGGACAAAAAAAGAATTTACCAGGTGTAAAATAAGGATAAGAAAATAGCATGCCTAGGGTTCTGAGGAAAGAAATGGCATTACGAAAAGTAAAAGAAGTGCAAGAAGACCAGTTTGGTCATGGCAGAAAAAATGTGAGTGAGAGCAGTTCATGAACCTGGGGAAAATGGAACAGCAGATCACAGAGAGTGTTTATCTAGATCAAAGTGTTTATCACACCAGTATCTGGGAGGTACGTGAGCATTTAAGATTATGGCATGCTTTCTTCCTATCTAGTAACATGTTCTTCTGTAAATACTGATAGGTAAACCTGCTATAGGATATAAGCCAAAATAGATAAATGTACAAGTAGTTCTCATAAAGGAATATTAACTTTTCTGGCATGTTGGGGAAAGCTTCCTAGAGGAAGTAATGCCTGAGCAGACATCTGAAAAATGAGTTTGAGTTCTCTAAGCGGACAGTAACTTATCAGGCAAAGGAACAGGGACATGAAAAAAATCAAGACTCTTCTATGCAGTCATCCTGATAGTCCAGAAGAGAAAGTATTTTTGCTCTCTTCAGAATTTAAAGAAAATACTTGAAAAAAGAGGCTTCATTTTTTTTTTAAATCATCAATGAAAGGGTATCATAGAACTTAAAGTATTCAATATCACTAAATGTATATTTGTTGAATACATAACTATTTGTGGAATTAAAATTAAGTGACCCCTTATGTCATGAAGGAACACAGAAAATATACTTTAAGATTCTTCAGGAATCAAAAAGATTACCAAAGAAAGAAGGGATGGATAGTGAAATTCCCGTGACACAAAAACTCAATGATTGGGGCAGGGCTCCAAATCAAGGTGCCTGAAATGCCCCTGTAAAAGGAGGTAACAAAAATGAGTGAGAATGATACAGCATATAACCTACTCATTGTTAAAAATGTTTAAAACCAAACATTTTCATTATTAAAAAAAGTCTACCTACACCTACAAGGATATTTCAGTCAGAAAATGAAGAATTTTATACTTCATTTCTTCCTTTCCTTATCTATGCTCAAATGTTAAGAAATCATTTAAATTAACTTCAAAATGTTCTTGCAGATGTTACTAAACTCTGTCTATACCAATGAATGCCAATGATGCCATTGTTTCCATAGTAACTGATGTACTTCAAAAGGAGGTAAAACAGAAGGAGACTTAAAAACCAAGGAGGGAAAAAGGAATAAAGTGAAATAAAGCAAAACAACTCTTTTGCATTTATGAAATACTAATTTCAAACATTTTATTATTACTTAGACTCTGCGGGTTTTAAGAGCCAGAGGATCTCAGAAATCATCAAATCCACTTCTCATTATGTCTGATAAGTAGCTTACCACGACTGTCAAACTGTATACAGAGTTCATGGCTAGAAAGTTCTCACTCATTTACTCACAAACATTACTGAGTATCTGCGCAGCTTGGAGGGCAAATAATTTTTTAAAAGAGAAAAGAAAAAAGAGCTATCCTTAAGAACAGTCTAAAGAAAAATCTGTCAGAACAGTAAGAGAGTCTCCGGCCCTTGATTAAAGGGCTACAGGTAAGTAAAAATAACATCTGAACCGAAAGGTATACATGTTGGATTTGGTAGCTATCATCATTAGACTCTCAAATAACAAAGTCTAGTAGTTTAGTAGGGCCGGCCTTGTTGCTACCACAGATGACAACTTCAGTTGAAATGGCCTGTTGGCATACAAAATAATAATAATATCTAGAAGAGTCAAGTAAGAATAAGTTCTAACTCCTGCTCTTTTAAAAATTTTTCCCTTACAGGTTTCATGGTGCTTTAGAGTGAGCCAGATATACCTCTATCCTTATCTTACAAAATGAAGAGTTAAGAATTCACTTATATGCAGAAGAATGGCTATTATCCTGACCTTAAAGTGGTTTTAAAAGGCCAGGCTTATTATCTAATTTCTAACAGAAAGAATTTAGATTGCTTGTTAACTCAGTGTCATAATTTGATAGATAGCCCTCTCTTTAATAAATATTTTGTTGATTTGTATTTTAAAACTTCACATAATAAGTAATACAATCAAGTTACCTGAGTAGGCATTACTTGGGTCTATTTTATTTTGGAAGACATAATATGAAGTCACAGTGCTTCAGAGAAAACTAAGTGATTCAGAGAAAAAGTATTCTGTCTGAGGTGGCCATTTGGTTTAAAAATTTTCCAAGCTAAAAAAATCAGAACACAGAACAGAGTTCCTAAACTACTTACTAATCACAATTTCAACTCTGCTAGTGAATGAGCCCTTCACTTCTTCCTTTTTCTGCTGCCCCACAAGGCATCAAAGTCAGGACCTAATGCATGCTAGGTAAGCACTCTACCATTGAGCTCTATCCATAGTTATGAATTCTTTTAACATCAAAACAAGTACAATGAACAAACAGTTTGTGGTGCAGAAAGTAAGGAAAAATTGAGATCCCTGAAGCTAGCCCATGGGCTGATATTTAGGGAGCTCTGGCCTATAAACTCTAAAATCTATCTTTGAATTAAGCAAGGCCACTAGAAAGCTACATACATGTTGGTCTTATACTGAAACACTATTCTAATTGTCCTCTGTCACAATTTCCCCTTGCTTTTGTTGAGGCATACTGAAACACCATCTATTTCCTATAAAGAAAGTGATGACAGCATGTCCAATACATATATAGTTTTTTTTATCTAAGAACCTAGCAAAGATGTTGCAGCTCTTTTTCTTTTGCTTATCCAGCTCTTTCTTAACCTTGTGGAAATGGTTAATGCTTTAGTCATACAATGTTTCTTTTTCCTTGGCTGCTAGAAAATTTATGGCATACGAATAGCATGTATTTAAATTCCTTAATGGCATGCAATTTGTTGACTGACTTTACTTATGACTCCATCTGTCTTTAATTATTGTCTATTTTTAAATATTTTACTTTGTTTTGTCATATGGTGCAGAAAATCCTGCAATATCTGGGTTAATATGCAAGAGGACAAAAGGAAAAAAAGTAATCTTTTTAATTTTTGCACAAGTGATCTATTCAAGTTTATTTACCTAAATAATTTCTTAAAACTCTTTTTTGGGATCAGTGATGGTTACAAGTGTTTGAAAGAGGAAGCACTTCTTAAGAAAGTTCATACCTGAAGGAGTTTCAAAACTCTTGCATTAATATGTAGACGTTTCCACCTAAAACTGTGTTTTTAAAGTAACCATAAACATGAATAAGGAATTTCACAAATATTTCAGCACAGGAGTAAATAACTTGCTTCTCTTAGAAGAGTTTCATATTTTTCAGTGTAAATACTTACAGGTACATGGACTTTGCGAAACATTTCAGCACCCTTCTGTGCATCCATCAGTGCAATGTCCTGGGGCGTGGAGACAATCACAGCACCTAACCAAAAGATAAACAAAATGATGCTACACTTAAATTCTTTATGGAAAGTGTTGCTTCTGATAGTATTGTTGTTCACATGCTTAAATAGTCTACTACCTTAGCTAGGTAATTCCTATACATTTAAATAAATGAGTAAGAGCATTAAGGAAATGTCTACTCTGCTCTTACCTACCTTTGATCCCTCATTTCTAAATTAACAATTGATTCATCCAGGATTCCAATTCAAAGTTGGATAAAAGGATTATCTTGCACACAGTTAGACCTTACCTTTAAGAAGTTGATAGTCTCCTTAGGAAAACAAAATACAAAATATTTTAACACAAAATGCTAAGTATCACAGCAGAGCTATGCACAAGAAACAGAGCTCCCTGGGAGAGAGGATAATGATCTGACAGCTGGGGCAGGGAAGCAAAAGATAAGGAGAAACGGTAGGGGAGAGTTTCCGGAAAGTTAATTCTTAAACTGTACCCCAAAAGTTTAAACTGTAAAAGCTTAGAACAGTTTGGTAGGCATTAAATTAAAAGCCACAGCAGCAGAAATTCAGACAAAAGGGTGGTATCCTAAGTTAAGGCAGCGCTGAAGTGATGCTGTCAGGGGCTTTTATGGATCTCCACTGTTACCGATAGAAACACAGTTTTGAAGAAAGTGCAATGCAACTGTTCTTTAAGTGGAAGTAACAAATGCCTGTTTATGATTGGCAGAGTCTGCGAATTTCTTAAATTTTGTGATTTCTTCTAGACAATATCCTGAAAAAATAATTAGCATATGTTATAGATCACATGGCTGATCATCACCTTATTAGAAAAAAACACAGTGCCATGACATTTCTGAGCTCCAAACCATTAAATTGGTATTCAGTGGCAGACTTTAACACAGCTAATAGAAACAGAAAACGGAAAAGACTAATGATAAATTAGTGATTATACCACATGGAGGTCAAATGACACTGAAAGGTATTAACTGCAGGGATATTTTGGAAGGCAGCTATCTACGCTCACCACTATACCGCCAATGTCGCAGCACAGGGATATTGTGAAGAAGTCAGAATAGAGAAATGTGGTGGGAAAACCAAGTTATCACAAAGCACATGGTATAATTATAAGTGTGCTAAAATCAATCAAACAAACAAAAGATTCCATGCAAGAGCAAGCTACAAGTTCTTCTTGCAATTGGTATTTGCATTTCAGCAAACACTCTCCTTTATATTAATGTTGTAAGTGTTGCTTGTATTTGACTTATTTGTTTAGTTTGCTAAATTACAACAGCTATAAACTTAAGGAATTTGTATATACATCTAGTGAAGAAACTTTATACAAAAATAAATCAATATGGGAAGCGGGGGAGAAAATTACTTTTCCTTTAGAAGGAAAATCTATATTCACTGCTCAAGTTTGAGATACATCAGCTTTGGTATTCAAACATAAGAAGATTCAGTTTCTTCATCTACAAAATGACACAGTAATATTTAGACTACAGATGATTGATATGATGCCTAACATTCAACAAATAGTGGCTGTTGTTAATGTCATTACCATTATTTTATTTATTGTTATTAATAAATAACTTATAAGTTGCTTTCCTACATATCATCAAGCAGGTCATCCTACTTTACAACTTGTGCCATGGATTGCTACATTCTTCTGTTTTTATTTACTCTGCCTAAGAATTAAAACGGTCAACAGTTTTTTCCTTTCTCTTAAGACTGACAGATTTCACATCTCTGAAAAAGTTATACTCTAAACATGCAATATATTTTCACTTCTTCTATCCTCTAGATTCTTCTACCAATCTGTTTCACTATTTTTTAATACCTAATCAGTCTGAAGGAATCCAATTCATATCTAGTTCATCTAGCTATGTGACTGACTAATCTTGGCAAATAATTTAAATTGCTTTGGGTCTCAGTCTGCTTAGCTGTGAAACTAGTGCATACATTAGATAGACTCCAACATCTATCTCTTATTATATGATTCAGCAGTCTTTCTTAATCATAAATATTTCCAAAACTATCCCTGCTCAATCTGACTGTCCTCATAACTAATTTGAGTGAGTGTGTGGCATGTCTCCTCCTCAAAGAAGTATTGCCTCTCAATCTCAGAGCCATTCTCACCAGATATACATGGGGAATATCCCTGGCTAATTTCTCCAAATCTTCTCCTTAACTATATACACGTATATTGGAGGTGCTCCATGCATTTGCTGTAAGAAGTAATCTTAGCTTTCATATGATAAAAATATACTATTGCTTTTTTGTTTGTTTGTTTGAGGCAGGGTCTCACTATGTAGTTGAGACTGACCCGGAACTCACTCTGTAGCCCAGGCTGGTCTCGAACTCACAGTGATCTTGCTGCCTCAGCCTCCCAAGTGCTGGGATTACAGGTGTGTGCCACCACACCTAGCCCCATACTATTGCTTTAAATGTTCTTGTCAACCATCTGTATCATTATGACACAATACAGCTTCATGGGTATTATGACAATTTGGATGTGGTAGGAATCCCTTCATTTGCTGAAATCTTAGTCTGGTGGCATTGATATAATAGAACCTTTAGAAGTTGGGGCCTAATAAGTGGAGGACAATTAGGTCCTTAGTTGCTACCCTCAGAAGGGATTAGGTAGTTCTTGTGGAACCCTACAAAAGTAAGATAAGAGAGAGCCCCGACCCCTAAGTTTTTTCTGACCTCCTGTATCAATACATGATCCCTTCTTGCCCACACCATGATGCTATTTACCACAATGTGGTGTGGGCAAGAGGTCACTCAACCCAAGCCAAATAGATGGAGCTGCCTGATCCCAGATTATCACCCTCTAAAACTATGAGTTAAATACTCTTCTTTTCTTTATAAAATACTCTGCCTCAGGTGTTTTGTTATAGTAATAGAAAACAGACAAGCATAATGGACAGTAGTGTTTATTTTTATCAAACAAAACTAATTACCATTCACAAATTAGGCACTTAATAAAAGGTAAATGATTAGGCAATTTTCCTATATTTTCAGAAGCATAAACTCTAGTTTACTGCAACTTAATTTTTAGTTGGTAACTTCTTAAAAGTACTCTGAATTTTGATTTTGTTCACTGTGTAATGAATTATAAAACCTTGAATAACATTAAATTTCAATAGAACTCAACTAATTCCTCTATGAAATGAATCTACTTATGTTAAAGAGCTGATCCACTAAAAAAAAAAAAATTTAAAGTGTTACAACTATGTTCCATGACAATCTTCTGATAGCTGTAAGTTCTGAGAAAGGATTAAAATGACTTGGTTTTCTTTGTAGTTAACCCTAACACAGTATCACAAATCCATTACATCTGAATTTCTTTGTATAATTATCTTAATAGAACCATTCAAAATAATAATTTTGGTAAGGGGAATAATCATCTTCCACGTGGCATCAAATGCTCAAGACATGTAAACATTTCATTGGATCTACCAACTAAATTGTAGAAAATATTTTGTTATAAGATTTTATACTAAATATATGTTGTTAACTAATGACTACACCTTTAATCTCAGTGTAATCAACCTTTGGGATACTACCCTAAGCCCACACATAAATCACTACTTCTTTTGTTGTACTAAAATGTAATATACAACCATTTCAAACAGTGACACATGACATTTAGAATGTATGAGGAGATAAAGCATAAATCAACCAACAAAATCTTAAATTACATTTAACCCTTAACCAATTTATATATCATAACCTCAAATTTTAAACTTTATGCTTTGTTTTTTGTTTTTGATTTGTTTTGGGGTTTTTTTGTTTTTGTTTTTTTATTTTTTTGGTACCGGGATCCAACTCAGGTCCTTGTGCTTGCAAGGCAGACGGTGGAACCACTCAGCTAAATCCACAGCCCCTCAAATTTTAAACTTTAAAAGAACTTGTTAGTGTAGAATCCAGCTTAAGATATGGTCTCCAAAATCAGATATTACATTATGTCTTTATAGTTCTTGGCTAGTAAATTTTACTTTTCCTTGTGGCATATGAAACATGAACCAAACAAGCATAGATTTTTTTCCCTTTATATCATCACTAATGATGTCATTTCAGTTCTGTGATGCAGGGCTTCTTAGAAAACTTGTGCTCCCTCTACTGACTATAAGGAAATGTCAACCAAAGCAAAAAGAATGTTTAGTTTGCAATACATGTTGATTATTTTGGTGGTTAAGAATACTATTAAGAATTCTGGGGTCAGGGATTTAGCTTAGTGGTTCCACCACCTGCCCCACAAGTGCAAGGACCCAAGTACAATCTCTGGCCCAAAAAAAAAGAATTCTGCATTCATTTTCTAAGGTAAATGCAAACAAATAATATTATTTAAATATAATTCTCAACTTGTAATCTTTCTAAATTTTTAAAATCAGCTGATACATACTATCAAAGATTGCCTGGGATAGTCTGACAAATATGTACAAATCTTACAAAATAATTATTTAGAGTAGTGTCTTAATTCTTACTTCTCTTGACTATTAAAAGGAAAATATATAACTGCATATCTGGATTTGGGTCAGAGTTCAGAGTAGTTAAACATTTAAAACTAATTATTCCAGATGTTAGGCTGATCATAATTATACCAGTGTTGAACTGCTCAACTATGCATTCTTGTCTCCAGGGCCTAGATTGTATCTAATTCCCATGCTTGATTAAGAACTTCAGTGTTAGAACCTAATAAATATATACAAGGAAACCTATTTAGAGTTATACCTGGAGGAATAATTCTATATCTTACAACCACTGAGCACATCAATGTAAAACCAACTAAGGCTTGAAAAAATATTAACTGCTATTCCTAATGTTCACAGAGCCTTTAATATTTGAGTTACTGATTCTCTTTGATTTATTTAGAAATATATTTGCAGTAAAAGAAAACAATCAGAAGCTAGGGGTGTAGCTCAGTAGTAGAGTGCATGCTTAGCATGCATGAGGCCCTTGGTTAGGTCCCCAGCAACCCTCCCCCCCTCAAAAAAAAGAAAGAAAAGAAAAACATTCA